GGGTTGGTGTGTTGGCTCTGCAGCTGCCACAAAAGCACATGACCCCAAAGATTTGTGAGTTTATAAAGCAAATGAGATCGCAAAATAAAATGTTCATTTATTTTTTATTTTTTTGATGATGCTTACACTCAAGAAATCAGTTTTTAATGTTCCTGAGGAGCAGATGCTGAACTGCAGGCGCTAACTAGCAATCGCTCTCAGAAAGCAGTAAAAGCCGACTTCTTTATTAACTTTACTGTTAAGTGAGCAGAGGAGGAGGCAAGTGTCTCCTCCATTAGCGAAGCAAATACAACATCTGTGCTTGAGAATCATCGGGACAGACACTGGGACGGGCTCATTGTCTGGAGGCAATAATTGACAAGCAGGTACTGAGTATTTCATCTCAGATCTAAAAATTGAATCAGATCTGGACTACAATGTTGAAATCCTCCCCCACCACCACAACCTTTTTCTTTTCTTCTTCCTTCTTCCACTTTCTTCCTCTTTCCTTTTCCTTCTCCTTCCTTCTTCCCTTCCCCGTGCTTTCTCCCTTCTCCCTCCCGTGCTTCCTCGTTCTTTCCTTTCTCTCCCCCCCCACTTTTCTTTATGGAGGATCTTTAATTTAGTACTTATTTGGAAACAATGAATGACGATTTCAAATGAACTAGAGAAGATTCGTTTTAGCCTCGATTTGGCCTCTCTGCCTTCACTTCCCACTGTGAGAGCTGAGAACCCTGTGTGTCCCTCTCGCAGGCCAGCCCAGGAGAACCCTGTGTGTCCCTCTCGCAGGCCAGCCCAGGAGTCGTGGCAGACTCGAGCCTCCGAGCAAAGCTGTGCTCCATAGATTTGTTGCTTCAGTGGCGTTGTTGTTTGCCTGTTAACATCGTATTGAGTCTTTACTGCTCTTCTTAAAACTAGCCAAAGCTACCTCTAGCTGTACGTGGACAGCTTCCTGTTTCCTACATTGGTGACAGAGGCAACTTGAGCTAAGAGCGTCTTCTGCAAACAGCTTTGACCTTTGAGGGCTAGCCCTGTCTCCACAGATGAGAGTCAACCCTTCATCAGCATCCTCAGAAAAGCCAAGTTTATATATTTGTTAAGAGACTACATGCTCAGGGCTGGGATGCAGCCGAGGATTAGCCTAGAATGCTTGATGGCCTGGTGTCTGCAATGGTTTTAATGAGTTAAAAACAACAAACAAACAAACGAACAAACAAAGGCAGAGGAGGTGATAGAGAAATAGCTTAGCAATTAACAGCACTTGCTGCTCTGGCAGAAAAACCCAAGTTTGGCTCCCAACACCTTTGTTGTATGGCTCACGACCACCTGTAAACTCCTACTCCCGGGATCTGATGTCCTCTCATGGCCTCTGATCACCAGCACCTATATGGCTCACAAATAGATGAGTGGGCACACAGGCATACACACACACACACACACACACACACACACACACGACATAACTGTCAGGTGGCTCAGCTAGCGTGTGAAGCCTTTGGTTGTAAGCTGCATCAGGTTTACACAAGTGGTGCTCCCAACTTTCCCGCAAGAATTTCCACCCAGCCCCCAACCTTCCTTCCTGAGATCTCGGTGAGCCCCGTGTCTTAACTCTTCGCCATCGACTTGAAGGGAGGACTCGTCCCCCAACGGTGTGCAGGGATGCGTAGCCGACGCCTTAACTTGCCTCTTTTTTCCCTCTTAAGGATGAATACCCAGCTTAGCATTCTCCTGCGTCTGTGCTGCTGGGTTCTCTTTGGATGAGATTAATATTTAAGGTGATGAACTTTGAGTAAAGCAAATTACCTTCCTTAATGTGGGTGGGCCTCCTCCTCAGGGAAGGTCTTACAGAACAAACAGTGACTTCTGACGCAGAGATGCCTTAGGAGACTGCCCAGCTGATGACCTTTGAACTTGAGGTGCACCATCAGATCTTCCCAGACCGCCAGCTAGCTGCCAGCCAGCCCTGGAGGCTTTGGACTGGCAGGATTGTCTCTCTGTCTCCTTTTTCTGTCTCTCTCTGTCTCTGTCTCCATCTCTCTGTCTCTTTCTCTCTCTCCCTCTCTTTCTTTTTTTCTCCTCCTCTCCATCCTTCCCCTCTTCTTCTTTCCATATATAAATAAGACTCACACTGTTTCAATTTTATAAAAAATCCTAACTAATAAATACAAGACTCATACAAAACAAATAGTGGCTATTTATGAAGCCCCTGAAGGAGGGAGCTGTGTGTAAACACGCATTGATGAGGTTACAGACTTTCTATAGAAATCAGCAATACAAACTCCCTAAGGCAGAAAGAACACACACCTCTTCATCTCCACTGAGCCCCTGACAAGATGATGATGTATTGTCTGGAAATCATGTTCTCTTGGGAAAACTTGTAGAAGTCCCTTCATCTGGATGTGAATCTAGTCCCTTCTATCCAGTTTCATCTGGATATGGATGGATCCTGCAGCACATGAAATGGCAAGGCGTGTCACAGTCCACAACCAGCTGTGGTTATAGACTCGACCTCTTCTTTCTTATCATGGAAACAACTCAAACCTGAGATGACAGTGTCTGTTCTGGAGTGCACCTTGGGCTGACTTGGCAATCTTTGTGTTCTCGGTGAAATTCTGTCTTTTGCAAACATATGCCCTATTGTAGGACTGAATGTGACCCTGTCTGCCCCAAGACCTGAGCCTCCCCTTCACAACCCACTTTGTCCCAAGCTGTATTCCTTCTCTTAGAGATACCCTGAGACTTGATATCTTCATTTCATAATAAGAAACTGAGGATCAGTTGCCTTCTGGGACTGCATGAGAGCCGTATTGTTTCAGAAACTGAGAACCAATAGAATTGGACACCGGGTCTTATCTTTGAGAAAAACAAGGGGTGGGGGGCATGGAGGCCACTAGACTTCATCCCAGACACTGTGGACCCACACACATATGGTTCATCCCCGAGAAGATCTGAGGTGCATAAGCATACCTGTGCCTTTACGCTGAGGTGCAAAGGAGACCTCAACAGGAGACAAGGCTTTCTGAGTTATCCTGAGCTCCTGCAGGGCACTGTTGAACCTACACCAGAAAGAGGAGCAGCAACAGCAGGGACAGAAGAACGTGGCACTGGGTCTCTGAGAAGCCCTGAGTCTCCTCACGTGTACCTCCCAGCCTTTGCCAGAAGGAGCCCCAAGGATAGAAGACGTGAAGAGCCCTCAAAGTCTTGGCGTAGGACCTGGCTGACTTCTCTCTACCCCAGGCACTGGAAAGCAGAGAACCTAAGCCAATCTCCCGTCTCTTTATGGTCACAGGGACTGTGGAACAGCAGGGCTATGGGCTTTCTGAAAGGATTTCTGGGTAGGATGAACTGGCTTGCTAAGTCTACCTTACCTGGCTCCATACAGGAGACAAGCCTTTGGAAGAGGCTGGACAATGACCAGATGCCCTCACTGATGCTATACTCTTAGACAGGATGGTGGGACAAGCGTCCATTGCAGGTGTGTACATACACATATGCATTTGCAAAGCGGGGAAACCCTAACTGATGGAATTTACTTCCAACTGGTGGGTTGGAGTTTTCTGCAGCCAGGAAGAGTAAGATTTTGAGCTAGAAATGTCGACTATAAAAGCCACATTTATTTTCATCCTAAACATGTGGCCTTACTATTTATTCTTATTTGGCTCACTTGCTTTCAAGGGGTCAATTAAAGCATTTTTCACATACAAATTTCCAGCGTCAGTAAGAAAAAGAAAAACACAGTCCTAAAAATAGCGCAGAGAGAGAGTTAAAATAGAATCGGCGATGTCTACACCCTGTGGGGGAGTCACATCGGTTTCAAGTCAGTAGCTGATCGCTCTCCTGCTGGTGACTTCCAGGTCTGCACGGACAGCGACGTCACCCCACAAATCTCTACTGAGCATCTAACCCCCAGTGCTGAACTCAGCCTGGGCAGGGATGAGAAGGCTGTTTCAGGTCACAGACAAGAGCACAGTCAGGGATTAGTGAATTGAAAGAGTGTAGAACCAGCCATGGTGGCTCATGTGTATAATGCAAGCACTGGGGAGGCTGAGGTAGTTCAAGGCAACCTGGGCTAAAGCATAGTAAGATACTGTCTCAAAGTAAAATAAAATAAGATTAAAAAAAAAAAAAAGGGAAGAGACAGCCCTCATCATCATGGCTGTCATCATTGCAGCCGCTGTAGTTATATCATCATCATCATCACCATCATCATCATCAGCAGCAGCAGCAGCAGCATGGCTCAGTGGCTCACTCCTACACATCCCAGCTGCTCAAATACTAAGGCCTGGCTGGGCTAAAGCGTTCAACACCAGCCTAAGCAACTCATCAAGACGTTAGCCGGGTGGTGGAGCAATTGTCTGGTATGTGCAAAACTTTGGGTGTAATCTCCACTAGGGCAAAGCAAAAGACACGATCAAACACACACACACACACACACACACACACACACACACACACACACGTCACATACATATAACCTCTGAAGGGTGAGACAGGAAGATCGCAGTTTGAGGCCCGTCAGACCCTGTGTTTCACAGACAAAAAGGGAAGGAAGAAGGGAAAAGGGGATGGGGGAAGGGAGTGAACTGTGGACGGGGAGGGGGCAAAGGAGAAAGAAGGAGGGTGAGAGATAGAGGGAAGAGGGAAGTAAGGAGGAAGGGAAGAGGTCCAGGGAGGAAAAGGTAGGTGACACGCCCAAAGCCAATTAAATCTTTTCAAATTCAGCTTAGGTACAGGCTTGCCCACAGAACACTGAACGAAGACATGGTTGGAGCTCTCTGCTGTGAGGCAGGGGGATTGGGCAGGACAGAAAGGTTTCTAGCAAGCAAACTGGCTGCGGTTAGGTTGGGGTGGGAGCCACAGTTTACGATCAAAGGACATGGTGTTCTTTGCAGTAAAGCTATGCTTGGGCTCAGGAAGAGCTCTGCTCCTGGTTCCAGGTCCTATAAGACATGGTCACTAAGCACTGGGATGCAGGACGTGACTGCCAAGCACTGGGATGCAGGAT